TATATAGGTTTTAGGAGTCTATTATTGTTAATTTTTAGATAATTTTTGAAAATTGAATGTAGCTAAATAGATACTTTGGAGTTCTGGTGTGGCGCTGTGGGCTAATGTGTCAGACTGCAAAGTTGTTTGAACTGCAAGGTCAGTGGTTCAAGCTCACCAGCTGCTCCTTGGAAACCCTTGCTATGAATTGCTATAGGTTGGAATCTACTCGACGGTACTTAACAACAACAACAAATATATAATTTATGAATATTGAACTTCAGAAATTAAAATAGCAAATTTACTACTAAGATTCCTCTACTATATTTAGCCACTGGAAAGGATGGGCCCTCCTGTTGATGGTAAGAGATCAGTACATAGGTTGTGTAGATTTTAGAATTTTAGGATGGAACTTCAGTGTAAACTTTGTAATTTATAAATAAGAATTCCATTATTTTGAAATTAATGGTGTCTGATTCCTCCATTTGAGACTACCTTTAGGACCAGGTGCCATTTCTTTTTCACTTTTATATTCCTAGTACCTTGTACCATGATTGGCACATGGTAGATAATTAGTATATAACTCTCTACATGAACCACTGGTGTCATGACTGGAGTTAAGAATGATCCAAAGAAGTCTGTACAGGGCAGGAACTAACCTAGCCCAGAAGGTTTGACCTCTCACAGATCATTTAGACTGGGAAATACTAAAATATGCAGAATTTTGAATATAAAATTATCAGTTTGTTTTCTTCACTTAAATGAAAAATGTAACTTTATGGGAATTCAATCAATGTTTTCCGAAAAGCCCAATTGATAATTTGATTTCTCTTTATTACAGTTGTTCAAACGCAGGAATGTCTCTCTGCCCAGAAATGATGAATGTATGCTAGAAAGCCCCATCCAGGATCCAGACATCAGCTCCACTGTACTTATTCCAGAGGTAGATAAAAACATTCCTCAAATTATACTTCAACAATATCTCAAAGATAATGTATACAACAAATATTACTTGTGTAAAATGTTTATATGTTAAATTGTATTTTATTTTGAATATTTTAGGAAGAAGTTATTACCACAGATATGGTTGAGATGATTTTTTCCAATAATGCTGATCAACAGCTAACAGCAACACAGAAATTCAGAAAGCTACTATCTAAAGGCAAGGATTATTTTCAGTAGGCTTATTGGATATTAAAAGATTTTGTGGTCTTATTTATTTATTTATTTTACGTATTTTTAATTTTTAAGATGCCTTTCTTTGCCACATATTTAAAATTTTATTTTTTAAAACGTATTATTAAAAAAACACATGTAGATTGTAGAACATTTGCAAAATATAAAAATATAAAGAAGGACATCAAAAAACCAAGCAATCATTAAAGCCAGTCTAAGAAACAAGGTTAGAGATATGTCCTGTAGTTTTTGTAGAAATATTTTTCAGGAACTTGACTTTTTTTAAAATGGCAATATAATATTATAGATTGTGGAGATAAAGAAATTTAATATCAATCAAACATTTAAAAATTTTTCCAAATTTTTGGTTATTTTAAAAAATGCTATAATGCTCTGGTAGCATAGTGGTTATGAGTCGGGCTGCTAATCTCATGGTCAGCAGTTCAAAACTACCAGTGGTTCCTTGGAGCAAGATGAGGCCTTCTGCTCCCAAACAACCTCTGATACCCTATACGGGGTCGCTACGAGTTGGAACAGACTCTATGGCACATAACTAATACCACCACATAAATCTATGAATAGTTTGAAACTTTCTTAGTATGAAATAGTTAAAAATAAATAGTGAAGGAAAAAATAGGGTACTAATTCACACTCCTGGTATGGTGCTGTAGGATAAAGCACACGGTGAAACCCACCAGCTGCTTATCAGAAACCCTGTACAGGGTCTCTATGAGTTGAAACCAACTCATTGGCACTGAACAACAGCAATGTGCCTCATAACCAGGGCTTTATCCTCTTATGTATAATCTATCTACACAACTTTATTTGAGATCCAGACCTGTACCTTACTTACCTCCTTCACCTCCCACCCCTATTTTGTTGCATTGATAGATAGCTCCAGTCAAGTTGGCTCTAATTCATGACTGCTTTTATACAACAGAGGGAGGGAAATGTTGACTGGTCCTGTGTCATGCTCACAATTGCTAGCATGTTCTAGTCTGTTGTGTCTGTTGTGCCATGTTGTTCTCCCTTACATTCCCAGGCCCTATATGACGGCACCTAACAACAACAACATACTTCACCAAACATAATGTCCTCCTTCAGTCAGTTATCTCTCTTGATGTGTTTAAAGCAAGCTAGTTGAACCGTGTTTTGCTGTGATGCATAAGACTGGCTGGCTGATTTTTCAGGAATAAATGATCAGGCTTTTCTCCCTAATCTGTCTAGTTTGGAAGCTCTGCTGAAACCTGTCCACTGAGGATGATTGCTTAGTATTTGAAAAATAGGTGGCATAGCTATATGTCGCAGCAATAGAAAAGCCACCACAGTTTGACAAACTGCTAGATGATTGGTGGTTAAATTGATAAAGCACAAAATTCAGATCTGGTGCTTTGGAGTTGATTCTGACTCATGGCGATTCTGTGTGTTACAGAGCAGGGTTTCTTGGCTGGCATCTTTATGGAAACATCACCAGACTTTTCTTCTGTGAGGCCACTGGGTGAACTTGGGTGACTTACTGAGTAGGTTTTATTTCTGGATATAATCTTTGTGGAGGAGTTCTGGTGTGTTGCTGTAGGCTAAGCACTTGACTGCAAGGTTGGCAGTTCAAACCCACCAGCTGCTCCTCGGAAACCCTCTACAGGGTAGCTATGAATCAGAACTGACTTGATGGCACATAACAGCAACAACAACAGCAACAGTCTTTATGGAAACATCACCAGACCTGTCTTCACTGGTGTCATTGGGTGGATTTTAACTGCTAGCCTTTAATTAGCTGCTGATTACAATAATTAAGTGTCTTAGTTATTCATTATATTTACTTCAGAGCTACCGTTTAATTAATATTGGCTCAGCTGCCTAATCTTCCTAAGAGAGACAAAATTTTGGAAGAATGAAAGAAATTTTGGGGCCAGGTTAGCAATGAATATAATAACTTTTCTAACCCTTTTCTTTTTTATTTTAAATTGTAATACTTGTTCATAAATAAACTTAACTTTTGCTTTACATTCTTCATCTCCCAAGCTAAAGTAGCTTAGTAGTGTTATCCTTATAAAATCAAGAATGGCTTCCTTTTCCTTTCCATATTTCACCATTTTTGTTTTTGTACTTGGGAATTTTTACTTACAATGTTGTTGGTCAGTGCTAACCAGTCAATCAATTCTGACTCATTACGACTCTGTATAGGGGTTCCAAGGAGCGGCTGGTGGGTTTGAACCCTTAAGGTCAGCAGTCCAGTGTAGATCCTACGATAAGTCTTGAACTATTAACCACAAGATTGGTGGTTCAAATCCACCATCTGTTCCTTGGAAACCCTGTACAGATTTGCTGTGAGTCGGAACTGACTCAACAGCACTTACTTATATTAGCATTTTTCAATTCTCTTTTTGCACTATCGTACTCTATTTCATGATATCTTTTTTAACACATTCACTGTATTATAATCAACGAACAACATTAACTTATATTTAGTTCTGTTTTGGAGTTTACCTTCAGTGTAAACCTAATAACTTCCCCATTGTTGGATTCTTTATTTTGATTCATCTTTTATTAAAGTGGAGCAGAGTTTGGAGAGTTTTCTTGTCCTTTCTTTCCTCCTTGCCTTTCATCAAGTTGTATTGATGTTATTCTTTTAAAACTTTTCCACATCTAAAAGTGTATGCCTGATGCCCTTGTTTGAGTAATTTTGAGTTTAGAATTTTTTAGTTATAAGAGTTGCTCTAACTGCTTGGATCAGGGGTGGGGAACATTGGGCTCACACGGCATTATTTGGTCTGGCCCTGTCAAAGTAATGGCAATTCCAGTCATCATACTTGTTGCTTGTTGCTAAGTGTCGTCGAGTTGGTTCTGAACCATAGCGACCCAATGAAGGGTGTCCAAAGAGAGGCTGGTGAATCTGAACTGCTGACCTTGCAGTTCAAACCAACCTTGTGGTCTAATGCATTATCCTGCACCATACCAGGACCCCAGCCATCATATTAAGGATGACATAATTAAATGTTTGACCAAATATAGCAGGCCAATTTTTAAGTTGATAATTTTATATGGCCCACAAATGATGTTACAGATTTTGGCAGAAAAAAAGTTACCCGTCACTGCAAGGTCAGTGGTGGTTCGAATCCACCAGCCAGGTTTTCTTGGAAACCCCATACAGGGTCACTATGAGTCGGAACCAATAGTATGGCACTTTACAACAACAACAACCCCTGCCTTAGATACTATAGTATCTTCTCATAGAGCCAGGGATTTCTCTCTCTCTTTTTCATGTTGGGAGTGTGTGTATTCAGGTTAGGGATGTAGTAGGAGTTATAGATGTTTTCTTTTATTGATTGTAGTGACTTTGTCAAATCTATGAAGCATAGAAAAATACTGTCATTTTACTTGATCCATCAGTGTAGGAAACCTGTGAAAGAGCTAGTATTAGAACTAGAGGCAGAATCAGTAGGAAATTCTGCCCCTTGGAAATTTCTTTATTGTAAACTAGTCTACATTCTGTTAGCATCAGGGAGATATAGATATGCTTCACTGCTTCTTAGACTACCCTTAGCTTCAGCCTTTAACTATTCTGATATAAATCATGCTCCTGATCTGCTAGAACCTCCTATTTATTTCCATACCAAGTCTACTTTTGTGATGTATATTACATTGACATTGCAGTCCTTTTCTCAACCCTAGTTTTGTAGAGATGTGTCAGAAGCTTTTTTTGTTGTTGTTTGCAGATGATTCTTGGCTTAGTTTTAAGCTCCAAAACAGATAATGCCTTATTTTGTTTTTGTTTACTTTGACATATTGACAAAAAATCTTCTCTGTGATATAGTTCATCACTTTTGTAAGATGTATAGACTGTTGTGATTTTGACAATTAATAAAGTTCATAAAACTTTAATTTTCAATGTAAAAGTTACCAGTTCATGATATTTTATCGTGGAGAAAAATATTAAAAGTATTGTGGGCTGCCAGAAGAACAGCAAACATATCTGTGTTGGAAAAAGTATAGCCAAAATGCTCTTTAAAAGCCAGGATGGGGAGACTTCATTTCTCATACTTTGGATTTATTATTAGGAGAGACCAGTCCCTCGAGAAGGACATCATGCTTGCTTGGTAAAGTGAAGGGTCAGCCCAAAAGACCAAGACCCTCAACGAGACGTATTGGTACAGTGGTAGCAGCAATGGACTCATGGGTAACAACAATTGTGAGGATGACACAGCACTGACCAGAGTTTCCTTCTGTCGTCCATAGGGTTGCTATCAGTTGGAACTGATTTGATGCCACTGAACATTATATTAGCTGATGATTGAAGTGCATGTTGGTTGTTGTTTTTTTTTTCTATACATGCATGAAACCATAAATGTATTGCTTTTAATTTTTATGTGTAATTTATGAAATAAAAGATAATGGAATTTTTTCATGAACTTTTTTGAAGCCTGCTAATATATATTTAAAACAGCGATATCTATACCAAGACACAGGCAGTCGCCAATTACAAATGAGTTCCATTCCTGTTGTTGTTATTAGGTGCCATCGAGTTGATACTGACTCATAGCGACCCTGTTCACAACAGTACGAAACACTGCTTGGTCCTGGGCCAACCTCCTTATTGTTGCCACGCTATAGCCCACTGATGCTACCATCTTGCCAATCTACCTCTCTGGGTTCTTCCTCTTTTTCTCTGATCCTCCACCTTACCAAACATGATATCTTTTTCCAGAGACTGGTCCCTCCTGACAATATGTCTGAAGTATGAGAGATGAAGTTTGGCCATACTGGCCTCCAAGGAGCACTCTGGCTGCACTTCTCTCAAAACAGATCTGTTGGTTCTTTTGTCAGCACATGGTATTTTCAATATTCTTCTTCAACACCATAACTCAAATGCATCAATTCTTCTAAGGTCTTCCTTATTCACTGTCCAGCTTTCGCATGCATATGAGGTTATTGAAAATACCATGACTTGGGTAAGACACACCTTAGTCCTCAAGCTGACATCTTTGC